AGAGCGTTTCAAAGATAATAAAAGAAAGCGTTGATATAACCATCCTACGTATATAACGATATAGATCCGAATTGCGATCTAAGAGCACAGATATAATAAACGAAGAATAAGGAATTAAATACTAAGAATTAGGAACGGAAAATTATCTTCGACAAATGAAAAAAATGAAAGAATATCTATTTATTTGAGGAGATGGAATAATAAATTTATAGCATAAAAATTCAATATGTATACAAATATATTTATATTAAATTTATATTGCAATGCGAAAGTAAAATGTAAGATGACTTATTTTAGTGGAATCAGTTAATATATCTTCTAAACTTGATGTCGTAAAAAAATATCTCAGATAAAAGTTTAGGGTTTTAAGAAGGACCTATGATAGTACTATGATAGTACTATTGGTTTGGACATTGAATAATCATTTGAAAATCGCATAAAGGTCACCCTTATTTTTTTGATGGAATTACACACATTTGCCTTTTTTTGTATGTATTAGTTTTCAAAATTAGAGTCATCCCGTAATTCCGATCCATTTTTTGAAAAGTCAGAAAACGGATGAATTTATAATTGAATGTGATCTTTTGAATATCATCCGTTAAACGTTCTTATACATAGTCTAATTAATGCAGCAGGAATTACGATAGCAAAAATAAACTCGCTGGGAATAATCCCGATTGCGTTCGTGATTTATGTTTGTGGGCCGGTTTTATACTTAGAATCCAATTATCGGAAAGCCGCAATGGCGGGCATTGTCTTCGCGATGGAATCCCACCAACGGCGTGTGTGGCTCGAGGCTATCTTCTACTGGTGTTCGAGAGAATGCGCGCTTGTCCCTGGACAAGCGGAGTACATTCCCAGACCAGGTTTCAGCCTCCAGGACGCCCTCACATTACGAGCCGCGTATCCAGTCTCTCCCCCGTTCCTCGCACTTCCGCCCCCTCCCCCCTTCCACGCATAAAAGCTCACGGCTAAGGAGCGTGTTCAAGGTTCCGGCCGAGGCCACATCCGACCAACGAGATCGGCATCCCTTCTTGCGATAGTACCTTCCCCCTATATCAACAGACGGAACGTAAACAACGAGACAATGAATAGTACTCGAAACCCTCGTAATGTTTATTATTTTTAATTGTCTCTCAACACTGGAGGTAACAACAGAGAAATCGGAACATGAACGAATTCAATGCCATTACTTTAGAGATTCCACGTATTCGAGAGAATTCAGGACAAAGACAAATAATGTTAATAATGTTCGCGAGTAAATATTTTGTATAATTGCTGCGTACGGTTGTGTGCTCGTAACAGCAAGTGCTGGCAGGTTAACGAGCGACCTTCGAGTTAACCGCATTGCGCTCGACAGTAAGTTCTGTTCAGTGGTTTATTGTTAGTTGACGGCTCTCGTTGTCGATCTCTGTCCAACAGCTTCCTCGTCGTTCTCTTGTTGCCTGATTAATTCCGACAATACGCTGGCCGACGAATGGTAGAAGTATAGCTGGAGAGACTCCCCGAGACGTCTGAGAATTAACGCGGATTAACGGCGCGTTGCAGTCTCATGATGCGTAACTCGTAACGAATTCACGATGGACGATATTCACGTTGCGATCTGTGCGCGATCTCAAGTATATAAATGATAAATTAATAGTTAAAAAAAAGAGTCATCGGAGTCTATTTTAAATCCATAGAGGCATATATATGACATAAAGCGTAAAACGTTCATTATAATTTATTATTGGAGTCGAAGCCACCTTTTGTAATATATTTATGTACGTTCAGACGAATTCACGGTAGCTAGGTAAATCAGAGATAATTAGTTTCCCAGACTAGCCGGTATTTTTGGATAACAGGTTGCTTTTGTTATCCTCCTTATTCGAAAATACAACGCCCTCGCGTGACATAGCAATTATGATGAAGCGCATCGGCACGATGCGATGGAGGCGAAGTGCAGAGTTCACGATAGGACAGTTCACACGTTAGCGAGAAGCAGGTTGCGTGGCAACCGACGCCCACGATATGCCACGCGCCTCCAATGTAGGTATTTGCGCGAGTTGGGGGGGGGGGTGGTTACCGCTTCTGTTATGCCGCACCCCACCGTAGGTGGATTCGGTGGATCAACGAGAGGGATCGTATATCGAGCTTCATGCGGAAAAGCTCGAAAAAACAATTATACAACTGGAGAACACCATTACTCGCATGTCTGTCGCAATTAATTTCCGCATATGTTTACGATATTAAATTTGCACACTGTACATACATTATTTTTTTTTATATTTGTCTTATATTATTCTTCTCTAGAATGTAAAACAAAGTAACAACAAAGAATAAAATAAGAAATAATTGAATAATTATTTTTTATTTTCCAATCAATCATCCGAGCGATTTTGATGGAGAACATAATAATCAACAAGAATATATTTTGTTTTTTGACTATGCAATCGAGTCGGTGTCCTCGATAATACATTTACGAATCGTATTCATATCTAAATATTATACTTACCAAGGCTGCATAAAAGTTCAAGGAATTGTAAAAAAAAGATATAAACGCCAGGATGTCTGCTTAAATGAATATATGATCAGCATTTCATTTAATCGTGCAAGTCAAATATTTTAAAAATTAAATAATATAAAGTGCTTTCTTCGTAAATAAAGATGTTTTTTTTTTAACTTTTTTATCGCCTTTCTCTGTTTTCGAACAAAATAGACAAAGTTTAATTTATTATAGGATTATAAGGTTTGAATATCGTTGAAAAATGTAGGTTTGATTAAAAAAAAAAAAATCGTAAAGTTATGAATTAAAGATAAATAAGAAGACAATATTTTTTGTGTATAATTCACCAGACAATGTTTATTCAGACGACCTCACAACTCCCAAGCGTACAAAATGACGTGCTCACTGGGCAATATGCGGGGCTGCATTTGTATTGTATGTAGTAGAGTACATTTTATCCATATTTTTCGTTTTTTTTCCACCAGAAACAACAGCTGTATTTGTATTCTTCTTCTTAATGGATAGGGAAATATATCATACTTTATGTATCGTTTACTATAATAATTATGTGTAGTTTATGCATAACAAGTATTACGAATATCAACGCTAGGTTGTCTGCGGGGGAGAGGACAAGAATAAGTGTTCGCTCAGTATGCATGTGTTGCTGTCGTATGTCGTATATAAGTGTGTCTATTTTGTGTGTGTATATGCGTGTCTTGTAAGGGCAGTCAAAAGGATTCTACGAGGAGCCGCTCAGACAAACGGGTGGATGTGGTACACTCGATACGGCGAAGAAAGTGCATTCTTTCTTTAGGTACAATAAATACAGAGGCCTCTAAGCTGGAGAGATGGGAGGGGGGGGGGAAGGATAGGTGTTTAGGAATATTTTGGCTAGGCTATGTTCTAACCGGGAGACTGAACGTGCTTTTAATGCCTCATTCTTGAAGAATACTAATTTTTTTTTTTTTTTAATCTGATCGAACATCACTGCAGTTCAATTTGAATCGTTAATTTAAGAATTGAGCTAGTAAGACTCAAAGCGGACGTTGTTAAAGTTCCTTCTAGGTTGAACCAAGGGGATTTAATCTGTCTCTCAAAAAGAGGCATAAGTGTTTCAAAATCGGTTTGCTCGTTCGCAATTCAGCGTGTTGTGAGTGAGTGTATACATATTTGATGCGATGTGTACTGGGATTGGGATTCATGCTCGGGATGGTTAAAGGGAGGGGGGTGTGGGGCGGGCGTCTCAACAACACGTCGGCGGCGGCCCGTCGCGTATTTTCTAACTTTCCCTCATGATTTTTTTTTCGAAGCAGAAGAGGTTCACTCGCGCCTACCAGGACATAGCCTTACGAATCTACTATTTACATTGCGTTTTGCCGTTTTAATCGGAACTCCGCTTTGCTTGAGCGCTTCGCGGTTTTTCTCCTTCTCTTTCTCCCTCTTTCCCTTTCTATCTTTCTCTTTCTCCTCTCACTCTTTCTTTCTCTCACTTTCTCTTTCGCAATCCTGTCTCGATCTATCTAATCTGACTTTCATGCATGCACACACGACACATAATATTGTATAACGCGTTTAAGCGGGCCTACGATACCTATCTCGCTATACGACGCGATTAGAGGATATAATTCTCGCGTCGTCCTCCCGACGAAGAGACACGACACGTAATATAAAGGTACGGTAATTGCAAACTGGTGGCCGTGCGGCGGGCCGATCAGTCTCATAACAAAACGCTTAATTCTTTAAAAATCGCATACGCGATTCTCATTCTCGGTTGCCACCGCGATCAAGAAGCTTTTCGATTTGCCCCGACTCATTTGCACAAGCACGCTCATCCGTCACATTCATTCTCTCTTCCTTATTCACTCTACGCCTTTCTTTCATCCATTCCTCGCAAGAGTATCATACGCATCTTTTTCTACACGTACACGAAATGATAATTTTTTACGATTATGATACCTTACACATATTACAATAATATTAATTAGTTTTATAGTTAATAATTATAGTAGAGTAGATGATGAATGAATGAGGTGGAGACTGTACAGAATGCGCGATTTCCATGATTATCACATGTAGATAGATTATTAATTTCTGTAACACTCAACCTTTCTTTTTTTCGTCGCAGATGTTCTATCTTCTAGATATACACCTAGAGCAGATAGATTTTAGGAGGTAGACAGGTGTATATATATATATATATATATTGTATATATGTATGTATACTATATATATATATATATATATATATATATATATATATATATATATATATATAGGTAGTTTTTAGGTGGATAGGTGACTCTACACGGCACCGTTGTTTTTATCGGATCGGCACTTTTGTGCAAGCGTCCATCCGTCATTATTTCGCGCACTTGCCACTAAACGTCTGTCTTCCTTGTGATTATACACGGAGATTACTTTGTCCGTTCCTCCGTAACCTCCACCTCTTTTCTCGCGCGATTTTAGCGATAAGTAATTTAAATTAATAAATTATTTGGTTTGTCACGCGCTCAGAGCGTCCTGGCACTTTCGTTTCTAGTTAAGAGCCGGGAAAGATTGTACCGCGTTGTAACAACGAGTCTTCGCCGACTGGTGATAGGTGGATCGAATATCCCGATTTCGCGCGCGCGCACGTCAGTGCGTATTACGGGAAATCACTCGAGTATGCGAGAACACTACGCCTCGAGAGAGAGGGCCTTGCAAGGTCCAACGAGCGGTCTGGGCGATGGTGACGGGGACGGCGACTTCTTGGATAGGTTTAGCGGTTGCTGACTGTCCGCAATGTCGACTTGCAGTTCCATCATATTGCTTGGGCAGCCCGATAACACCAACGTGGCTGCCGTACTCGAGGTCGGCCTCGGACTCGTGCTCGTACTACTGGTTGCCGCCGCGGAGAGGTATCGCGGTGATGAAGCTGGAGAGTTGGCAACAGCGAGATAGTCTGAGGAAGACTGCTGTTGTTGCTGTTGCTGCTGTTGCTGCTGTCGCGCACCTGTCGTCGTCGTGATCACCGAGGTGGCCGGCCATCTGTTCGAGTAGCTCGTGGTGGCGCATTGTAGCAGACCCTGAGATCCTTGCGTCGAGCGCGTGATCGCTGTAGTGGTCGAAGCACACTGCTCCGCGGGCGACGGTGACACTGTTGGCGATCTGGGACTGGCCTCACCCCGCATTATGTAGTTGTGTATGATGTCCGTGCGCTTCAGTTGTTCCGCTGTCATCCGCGGGCCTTCCATCAAGCTTCTTGCAAGAGTGGAATGCGTGCTGCTTAGCAGACTCGCCGTTTGTGGGCACTGGGACTGCGCCGTTTGAGTGGGCGGACTGCGCGCCGGTGGCGATGTTAGATGCAAGTGTAGCTGAGATTGTGTGTGCTGAACTACCACAGCTGGTTCGGCCTCGGCGCTATCCTTTTGGCGTAGAGCGCGGAACTTCTTGTGGGGCTTGTAAGCCTCGTCCATCAATGAGTTGGTATCGTACAAGGGTGGTGCTTGAAGCACGCGTTTGAGCACTGGCATATCCTCGACTTCCTTGTCTTCCGAGCGTGGACTCGAGCATACGGACGTGGGAGCACTGCTGGCGCTGCTGCTGGCCGGTTTGTCGGGTTTCTCGGTGCCAGATTCGATACCGCTGTCGCTTGGCGAGTCCAACTTGCGGAAACTGCGACACTGCGGCGGCTGTGGAGTTTTTGACATGGTAGAACGATGAAGTTCATCGTCGCCAGAACTGGTACTGCCAGAGTTCGCACGTCGTCTATGCGGACAGAGTCCACCGGCTAGGGTGGCGGCCAAGAGAGGCGCGCTCGACGCGTGATGACCACTGGCTGGCGCTACGTGATGATATTCCGTCAAAGAGGCAACTTCACCACTACAGGTGCTTTCGGTGCTCGACACACTACCTAGGGGGCTTTTTACCGCTTCGTCCAAAGTTACGTCCGAAGCTGAACCCCAGGAAGCCGGAGGTTCCTCTTCCATTGGCCAATGAGGCTGTTGCTGAGTAGTAATGACGTGTGTTTGTTGTTGCTGCTGTTGTTGCTGTTGCTGATGCTGCTGTTGGGCCTGCAACTGCTGTTGTTGCTCAGTCATTTTGAAAGCCAACAATTTTTCAGAGTGGAGGGTATTCAGAGTTTTTAGATCGGGTATTTTCTTTAATAGTTCGCGAAGAATATCGGGATGCTGGGGATGATTTTGCGCCAATATCGTCTGTAGAGCGTTTCGGAGTTTATTGTGCATACGTTCGACCAATTCGGTATTACGAAGTCCAGGTCTGTCGGCGGCGATCACCACTACCGAACAGAACAGTCCCAACTCAGCATCGGATAATCGCAAAGAATTGACTCTTTCGGCGAAATCAAACATCGAGTCCATTAGGAATCGCGCATTACTGCTATTGTGGATGGACTCTCGCTTGAGCACTTGGCCGTTTAAGCAGATCATACTGTTCGTTTGAGCATCGAACATACAGGCCAGCCGCACGAGCAGCACCTCAAAAACGCCAGCCTTTAATAGAGTGACCTGGTCATCCTGTGCCAGCAGGTTGAATCCAGGTATACGTTTCGCGAATTCCACGACACCGCGTATGGCCGGTGAGAACCTTTTGGAAAAGTCCTGAAGTAACTCTTGCTGCCCAGTCAACGGTTGCGGATTAGGATTCAAGGGGCATGCCTGTAACAAAAAGAACCAAATTCCGAGGTCAGAAAGTGACGAATCGTTAAGTCGTTCCGAAGGCCGCCCGTGTCGCTATCGTTACTCGGAAGAGAGACAGCATACCAGGCGTCCTCGCGTGGCGAGACGAGGCGGGACGATACGAAACTAAACATTTACGCGCTCGCATCGGATCTCGCTTCCTCTTTCGCCGAGGTCGCCTGGTTTCTCGCGCGTGATTTCCGCGTAGAACGCTTGAAAGATCAAGATGGCCCAAGGCCCGCGTAGCTATTGACGTCAGCATAGATGCCGACCGTTCAAATCTCAAAAGTGACGCGGACAGGCTTGCGTAATCCGATGCCAATGTCAAGAGGAAAGGTCGAGCTTGTTTACCAAGGTTGGTGGACACGCGGTGTAATTGGGGGTCTCGCGGGCTCTGGCGAGGATCGGGGCCACTTTGTCTCTGGTGAAGTCACATGTGTCGAGGTGGGCTCGCACCACGGTTGTAAGCAGACGTTGCTCATCCTCCAGTTCGGCCGTTACCGCCTTCTCTTGAGAACGGCTGTGGGAGCTCTGTTGCATAGCAGCCAGAATCCTGGCCTTCTCACGCTTGGGCACGCGGCCGAATCGCACCGCTGTAATCAGAAACAGGGCAAAATCAAGAGATTAGACGTATGTCAGTATGGAGCGCTCGTACCTTGCGCGCAAAAGGAAGGACGACGATAAATAGTTAATGCGATCAATGGGTGAATCATGCAACGGACCCGACCGCTATCGCGAGATGACCTTCACATAAACGAATGTCGGCATTCGCGTGAATGTTCGGACGTGCGGGAGAATCGAAAGAAATGCGCGACCCACGGCTATTCAAAGCGTGAGTATCGTCACACCAGATATGGTTTCGCGCCTCAAAGGTAAAAAAAAGTCAGAGGGGAAAGCGCACGACTTTCTCGGAGAGATGAAAGTGCCGTGCGCGCTCACGAGCACCGCACTGGCTCCGCACGTTGCAAATCTTCGCAATTAGAAAGTACGCTGAACATTCAATTGCTCTCTATCAAAATTAAAATATTACGAGCCGAATATCATCGTCGAAGGGACACCTACGTGCATTGTGATAGTTGACTACTCCGTTGAGGATCCCTTTAAGAATTGGTAACTCGTCTCCCATGACGGTTCAGGGAAACACCCCACGTTAAATCCCCGGATTAGCTTTCGACCTGCTCTCACTTTGACGCACGTGCTTGACTTTCCTGACTGTCGGCACTAGATCTCACTACCGTTCGACCTCACTACTGCTGTCACTCGGTACGTGACAAGGCCCTCCTCGAACTCTAAATCGTTCCTCTTGAGCGATATACCACGATCGGATCCCCTCGGCTGACTCGCGAGTCGCGGGTCACTCCAAGTGATCGCACGGCGCGAGATAGCGCGCGCGCGTGCTACGCGAGGCAGAGGTCTGCCACTCCGGGCTTAAAAAACGAGCGTGACCGCAGTACGCGTGCAAACACGAGACAGCATCACCGCCGACTGAGTGATGTTCCACGGGTTGCGTTCAACAGCCCCTCCACTTATTCAGCCATCAACGACCCCCACCATCGCGCGCGAATGTGGCCTTTGCCGAGCCTTTGGCCTTGAACTTGGTTTCAGCGACAGCCGCACGAGGCGTACCGCCGACCTATATACACTATATAGCGAGCAAATGTACGACGCGTCGAGCCGTAGCGCCCGGCGCAAGAAGTGTGTGTGTGTGTGTGTGTGTGTGTGTGTGTGTGTGTGTGTGTGTGTGTGTGTGTGTGTGTGTGTGTGTGTGTGTGTGTGTGTGTGTGTGTGTGTGTGTGTGTGTGTGTGTGTGTGTGTGTGTAGTGTGTGTGTAGTGTA